GCAGCTGACAGCGCGGGGGGGGGCCGCGCCGCCGCGTGAGCTGGCCGGGCGCTGAGGCGGAGCTTCCCGGTCGCCCGCCGTCCCCGCCCCGGGCCCAGCCTGTCCGCCAGGGGCCGGGGCGGGAGATCCCGGGCAGGGGTTTCCAGCTTGCCTCAGAAATACCCGCCGGCCCTGCCCACGCGGGGAACTTGGTGCGGTGACCTGGGCTCGGCGGCTGCGGCTCAGTCATGCGGGCAGGATCACAGAGCAGCGGGGCCGGTCCGCCGGCCTGAGGCAGGAGCATCCCCGGCCCCATCTCCACCCAGCGTCGCACAACCCACAGGCTCTGCCTAAGACCAGCGTCGAGCCTGACACAACGGACCTAACCCCCACGGCGGAGGAGGGCCTGGGCAGCCATGTACTGACAGCTAGGAAGGGTTGTCAATAGATGCTGAAGAGATCCCTGGTAGAGGGCCACACCCCGGCCACAGGGCAAGGCAACCCAGTCTGCACCAATCCGAGCAGGGGGTAAACGTCCCTCCTGACTTCAGCCAGGCAGTTGGTCTGACTGAGCAAAGGGGCAAGATCCTTTCACCAGGATCCTGCAGCTGTGGTCCCAGCAGGAGTATTGGCACACCCCAGCCAAAGCCCCCAGCCTTGGCTGTAGCCAACACCCAATGCCTCTGGGAAGGCTTAAAAACACCCTGATCCATGTAGCAGAAAAGCAAAGCAGGGTGGGGGGCAACCAGCAAAGCCCAGAGGCATGGGCAATCTCCATGGTACAACAAAGGTACAGCTAGATCATTCCCAGCCAGTGGCTGTCTGACCTCTTCTTGAAGACCTCTGGTGATGGAGAGTCCACAACTTTACAGGCAGTTTACTGCACTGTCTCGCTGGTCGAACTGTGAAGAAGCTTTTCCAGATGTCTAGTCTAAACTTACTTTGCTGCAACCCCAAGCCTTGGTCTGCACCCTCATTTCTGCAGCAGGGGAGGGAAGTGCTTTCCCTCTTCTTTATGGCAGCCCTTCAACTATTTGAAGACTCCCCCCTGTAGTGTTAAGTGCCTTTTCCACAAGCTGAACATACCCGACTCCTTCAACCTGCTCATGGGGAGTCAGTGTAGACTATGAGACCACAGTAGCTATAAAAATCTTTACCTTAAAGGTTTAGAAAAGGATTTTTGAGCAAGGGGAAAAGGGATTTCACGGGAGAGGAACTAGTTAGTGGCATCATCTTTCTCCTCTTGTTCCCCCCATGCTCTCAGAACTTGCCCCAACTCCTCTCCTGGTTTCTACAAGCTGCGCTTTACGCCTAATGATTTGCTACAACATCTGTTTCCAGTACGTGATGTCAGCTGTCAAGAAAGAGACAAAAATTCATTACCACGCACTTTCCCCATGTTCAGACTTTTGGATTCTAAAAAGAAAATGCAAAACCAACCAACATTGGTTACTTCCACTGTTAACAACTGGTCTGACTTTGAGAAAGCAACTTAGGTCATCATAATATTCTATTTTTTTTTCCAGCTGAATAGATGCAGAGATAGCCTCAAGGAACACCATATTTAAAGGTGGGAAGTTAAGACATTTGAATTGTCTGTTTGCTGCCTCAATCTATGCAGAGACAGGTAATTCTGTTTTAAGTATTTAATGTACACTTATTAGATGTTATGTAAATTATGCTAACGTAGAATATAACAACAACATGCCAACTTACATATGCTTTGTAAAAGAGAAATTCAGCCCCAGTCAGATTAAGATAATTAATTATCTCTTTCAGTGTAATTTGAAAATATTCCCCCTTTAAATCTTATGCAGTCAGTCACAGAGACAACAAAGCAGATTTATTCATGTCACTTTCTCATCTTTGTAAGTAGACTGCCTACAGCTGGTCAGAGCTGCTTGCTCTGACAGTGAGAAGTTCTCTCTCCCTTCTAAAGAAAATACTGTTTTCGTTTTCTTCTTTCAGAATCACTTGAAAACCCCTCCCTACTTTCCCCACATTCCCCATCCATGTTTAGACTTTGTTTTCAATAGCCAGGGGGACTTGTCAGATGGGGAGTACAGGTTACTAGTAAACCCTTCCCTGTCTTACAGGAAGTTAGTGAAGGACACTAGCTCACTTGGTACAGACAAGCAAAGATGCAGTATTCAACTGTGCACCAGAGGAGACATTAGGAGTACACCCACTACTACAGGACCCTTAGCCTTGCATGAGCAACTCACAGCTATGTGAATGAGGAACAGATCCACTACCTAGTTTATAGCCTATTCAAACTTCTCTTTTTGTAGAAGACAACTCTGAGGCCTTATCCAGGTGAGAAGGGATTTCTTGTTTGTTATAGTTTGAAGCTATAAAGAAAATTTTCAGTTTCAATATTTCAAAGTTTATATTGCCTGAAGCATTCCCATTCCACCCTCAGTACTTTACAGCACCTGTTATGTCCAAGCCATCTACATACCTGATCACTTCAGGAGTAGCTCTTTAGAGAACTACAGGATCAAACTATAATCATAACCACTAAGTGGCTAAGACTTTGGATTTTTGTTAGTGCAGGACTGAGGTTTATGGTACATTTCCTAAAGTTTTTTTTATCCAGATTAGTTTTACGTTCTCTTCAGAGTGCAGATTTCATAATTTTCAACCACACAGCCAAGATGATGCATGATCAGATGAACATTCTCCTTCATTTCACCTTGTTACTTAAACTATTCTCTATAATTGGCAATCCAACCTCTCATTTGTAACAACACAACCCTTCTCCTTACCTAGTCATTTCACTTTTCAGGTATTTAATTTAAAGCCAAACTGCAAACCTCTTTTGGAGTTTCTTCATTCACCACCTCCAAAGCATTGATGTTTATTGATTATCCTTTTTCAGTACCTTGTAGGTTGTGCTACACAAGCTGCTGTTTTGTTTTGTTTTTATTTCTAGGCACTACAAGATTTATTGCTTGAGCACACAACTTATCCCTCATATTTCCATTAGATAGTAAGGCTTTAATAACTTCTCCCTAGTTATTTGTTGTTTTTATTACAGCTACAAGTTATGAGACTCCAAGGATGATAATTTGCCAGGATCATTCTTATTTTTGGAAAACCACTGCCTTTGCTTTCTTTTGTTATATGGAACAGTAACAGCTCACTTCTCAGTAGGTTTTCAGAACTTCTCATTAGTAGTACAGCAATTTGTTCATTAATACTCTAGGCTGTACACCTTCTAGACATATTATTATATCTCTCTTAGCTGATATTTAGGAAGGTTTGCTTTGCAATTTTCCTTCATACCTAGATATTCAGGCATACTGATCTTAATAAGCATTTAGGAGTTAAATTCTACTGCACATTTTTTAAGGAGTGTAATTAATAGACCCACAAAAGAGTAGAGCCAGCATATAGTAAGCAATAAGTCACTGGAAAACATAAGGCTGAAGTTCAGCATATTAGTGACACCATCAGCCAGCAGCTTTCCTCCTCTGTACCTTCCTACCTCAACTGTAGAACACTTGGTGTGTCACCCTACCTGATGAAGCAGTGGCAACACACTCAAGAGTCACTTCAGAACACACTTTTACTCTTCAAATCAATATCTCACTAATATCAAATCCAAACTTTCTCTGACTTAAGCAGATCATAAAAACCCATCAACCCTTCCTCTTATCTTTTTATCTTGAACCAAAGCTAGACAACCCACAAACAACCTACTTTCCACAACCACTGAACCACATTCTGGCTTTTACAGCCACTTGATTAGTCACAGCTAGGAGACAGCTCATCATTTACAGGTGAGAATGAGCTCAACTTCCTGTACAGTGCCCTTTACCCCTCCAAGTTTTATAATCATACCCATACACCAAATGGTAGAACAATGGTTATGTACTTGTACACAAATCACTTGGCTCCTTTATTAGTGTGTTTTGTGGACATCTTTCTGCCATATTGATATGGGTAGAGCTGATAACTACGCAATGTCATCACACCTTTATTTCCCAAAGCAACAATCAGGGTCCCATCTGGAGAGGTCAAATGCTGAGTGTGATGCTCATATGGAAGGAATCTGACGATTACCAAGAAAAAAAGAGAGGTGATATTTTATAACAAGCTTAATTGACTTTAATTTTCCATCAGTTTCAGGAAGTGCAATATGTTTGCCATTTAGTTCATGGAAGACAAGGGCCACTGATGCTTCTAGCAAAGGTAAGGAAACTGGGATAAAGTGACCAGCATTATCCTTAGAGTAGAATCACTGCCATCATGTCTTTGCAATCTTGAACAGCCCTTAGTACTTGGTACAGTGCACACCCAAGTCCACATACTATCTTCCCTTCATTTTGTATAACCAAGAAGAGCCAAGTGTAGCAGCATTTTTTAGATTTTAATTTAAAAGTTCTCTCTTGTGTATGAGTACTGGGGTTATTGGAACCAAACCTTTTTTCATTAGTAGTAATTACACACTAGTCTGGGACTTATAGATATCCTGATCCAGTAGTTAAAACAGGATCTGCTGCTGGCTTTCCTGTTTCTTTTAGAAAAGTAACTGCTGATCTGTTGCTGTTTCCAATTTTAATAGCACTTCATGATCCACTTCTCTCTTATGGCTCAGAATACTGCCCAAATTCTCCATCACATATAAGTTTACAAGCTTTCCCCACCAGCCTAGGAAGAAATCTCACACTGTCTCTCTCTTCAGGTTTGGCTCCACTCCAAACACAAACATGCAAAAATAGCACATTGCAAGGTGATTCCTATTATCCAAGCAAGCAGCAAAGTCCTGTCTCATAACACTCTCTCTTTGTCTTTTCTCTGAAAAGATAAACTCCTAATTTTAAACAACTTCTTATTCATTTAGTCTTATGCTTGTTAATCCTTTCTTATCTGGAGTGTTCTACCACATCACTGGGTCCAAAATTGAAACAGGATATAAATGTGACTAGAGCCCATTTCGGTAACAGGCCAAACCAAAACAACAGATATCACTTGGGTTGGGTTGTGATGCAGTTCAAATTAAAACCCAGAGTAAAAATGTATACGGACCTTGTCTCTAAGTGATATTTTCCTTCAAAGCATAGTAATGATAGCACAAAGTCAAATGTTTTTAGATGGCAATTTCTATGTTTGTTGGCGGGGCAAGGAGGGTATGTTTTTGGTTTGTCATATGTTGACCGTATTAAAAGCCTACATTAGTATTTGTGGAGAAGGTGTTGAGTTATGATTAAACCCTGGCAATTGGGATTTGTGGGTTTTATTCCTGGTTCTGCCATTGATTTGCTGTTATACTGAGCTTTGGATGGGTTACATAACCTCTACATGCATCAATTCTCTCTCCCCATCCATAAGACAGTAATATCCATTTCACAGAGGTTATAATGGTAAGCTAAATGTTGGAAAGTACTTCAGAATTACCAAATGAGTTGCTACAGAAACATAGCCTGCAAGAAGGACAGTGTTTAAATGCTGCATCATGAATAATATTTCCAGGGTCTTACTAGTGAGTGGTCTTATTTGTTTCAGACTTTGCATGTTAAGTTTTGCAGGATCAGGTTTCTTCCTCCAAACTTCTTTTTGTTTATTGTCAATACTCTAGAGGTGCTTCCAGTTACTTATTCTGCTTAGATAATCATAATTCTCTGGGTTTGAATGATAAGGGACAGACCAGCTACTTGCTAATCAAATTCATGTTGATAGTTTCACTGCAGTATTACAGATGCAAACCCTAAATGATTTGTATCTTTAAAAAGTATTCAAATAAAAAAAAATCATGGACGTTCTACTTTGTGGGCATTGGTGTGGTAAAAGCTTTGTTTTAAAATAATTTGTCATCGGGGCTACATTTGATCTGACAGGTCTTCCTTGCTTCTAAACAATTGCAGAGATACTAAATTTGAACATTCATTCTTACCAGGAGATGCTGTAAAGACAGATTCTAGACACACTGGTGACAACTGTGTCTTCTTATTTTGATAAAAAGAAGTCACACTAAGTTAAACTGACAATCTGTAACTTCTCTGGTACCTTCACTCTGGCTTGCCCATCATTAGAGCCAAGTGGCTCTAACAAACTTATGAGTAGACATTTGAAGTCCTGCATTCTTCATTTTGGGCAATTTAGAGATGTGTTTTTTTCAATTCTCCCACTTAGATTTTTTTTTTTTAATATATTTTGTTAACTTCATCTTTTTTAATGTTACACAAAAATACATATATTATACTTTTGTGGTTTTTTTCTAGGGTTTAGCAACTCAGGTACCTTTAGCACTTCGTTAAAGAAAGAAAACAAACAAACCATTATGTGCTTGCTTAAAACATAAGTTTCAACTGGGAAGAAATATTTCCTGATAAGCTGGATGACTCATCTGCTGTACAGGATAGTTGTTTGTGTATCTTACTTCAGAGTGCAGACAAGGTGTGGGTGAAGTCAAGAGGACTCATGATTCTTTTTACTGGGTGAAATTAATGTCTAAGTAGGCTTGTCACATGTAATTTGCATGTAGTTAAAACACTTTGTCTTTTGCTTTTTCTAATACCACCTGGAAGGCCAAAATTCTCCTTCCTATAACACAAAGTTTAGCTTTTTCCTTAGAAGTACACAGTCTTGTACAAAGCCTTCCTTGTTTTTGTGCGAGGTTTCCTTGGGGAACCAATAGAAGAGCTTTCTTTCCTCTCAGTTGAATAGCGCTGAGAGTTAATTACTCCTGATGCGCTTGACTTGCCCACATGGATGCAGCACTGAGCAATAGGGGTGCACCGATAGAGATTTTGGGGGCCGATACTGATAGTCAGTTTTAAGGAGGCATACCAGCTGATACCAATCCAATTTCTGATACAGCCGTGTGCAGCTGGTAAGTCTGTTGTGGTAAAAGGGGAGGGGGAGGAAAGGGGCATGAAGGGAGCAGATCAACACCCCCCTGTGGTGGGGGAGGGAGTGGGCCAGGGGCAGACACTGCCCAGCCAGGGTGGGGCTGGGCACGGGATGGAGCCACGGCTCATCCAGGGGGCACACGGGGCAAGGGGGGGCAGCTCCTGCCACCAAATACACCCCAGGAGGGTACAGCGGGAGCATGTGCCCCTGTATCTATGCAGCTCTATGCAGGGCAGGGCAGGCAGTTGCAGCTGCGGGCTGCAGCTGGGGCTGTGCCAGGCTCTTCTCGGTGGGGGCTGGTCTCCGGGAGGGGGCAGCAGTGCTGGGAGGGGGAATTCTGGGGGGGCTATGGCAAAACTTGGGGTGGCTGCAGCCCCCCTCTCCCATAGCCCCCATAGTGCCACTGCTGCCCACCCTGAGCCCAGCCCCTTTCCCATCCACCACAACAGACTTACCAGCTGCACTCAACTCTTCAAGCTGCCGGGCTGTGCTCCTCACTGCCTGTATGCTGCACTGGAACTATGCACACACGGGCCTTTATCAGCCAAATTATTGGCTAGATTGAGCAGATTTACAATACAGTCAATTTTCTTTATATTGGTGCCAATCCGATATCAGACTGATGTATCAGTGCACCTCTACTGAGCACTCTGGTATAAGTCCTCTCTCTCTGTTGCTGTGGTTCTTATCTTTTCATTTGTGATATGACATCCCTCTTAGTCCACCAGTGATCCTAAAAGCAAATCAGAACTGTTCCTCAGGACTGATCCACATCTGGATTCACCGCTGAGTGCGTGGAGGCCCCCCCCACCCTCCATTTCCTTGGCTCAGCAGTCGGCTGCAGGGGGACCCCCGGGCCCCTCCACAGACCCAGGAGGCACCAGTCGCTGAGCTGGGGGGTGCCTCCATCGTGCACTCAGTGGCAGACCCAAAAGTGGACTGGAAGTGCTTCTGGTCCACTTCTGGGTCCGCTGCCCCACGCACTCCTGTGGGATGCTCCATCCATATCACCATCTCAGTGTTCATGAGCCGCTTGGTACCTTGAGATATATAGAATATAGAAAAAACATTTAAAGCTGTGTCTATGTCCGAATCATCAAATCTCTCCGAATCAATTTGGAGGGTTCTGATTCAATTTGGAGAGATTAAAGGTCTCCTGATTCAATTTGGATTTGGAAATTCAGCTGCCAAATACAGCTAAATCTCCGCCTAATTGAATCAGCAACCAAAGCTTCACACAGCCCTAATACACAGGGTCCCAAGGTGGCTTTTTGCAGCGCAGAGGAGAAAGCAGGGGAGTAGAAAGCAAATGCAAGACCAAGAACCTGAATATCACTGCTCCAGTCATAGCAATTCAATGACTATCAGACAAACATCTCATTAGAAGTTTAGACCTCTGGCCTGCAGGTCTCCAAGTTTCATTGTTTATCCGTTCCTCTTTAAAATAAAGTAGAGAATCTCTTTTCCAACTACTCAAAACATTGTCCGTAAAGGGATTCAAGATAGCTATGTTTCTGTAGCTGATGATAAACCTTGGTGAAATTTAAAGGTATGGACTGACATGTACAGGGCACTTAAGAGTGGGATCAACCCTTGTTTTCTCCTAAATGTGTTTACTGCTCTAAAGCAAAGCTTAAAAAAAGAAAAACTTTGAAAAGCCCAGCAAGATCTGCAATCTGAGAGAGGAGTATTAAAACATTTCAATTTAAAATATGGTGGTTTGACAAATGTGGAAAATGAAGTCTTCTACTTGAAGACAAAAAGTAACCTACCTACCCTTGCAGACACAACTTCTTTTTCTGCTTCTTAAGTTTTGGACTCAAATTTACAGTTAGCACATATTGTCTCCCTTCCACTAAGCAGAACAGAACAGGAAATTGTCTCTAATATTCTTCCATCTATGTGTTTTTGAGCCTTAGTCACTGGCAGTTATAGAGTCTCAGACAAATGAAAAGCAGTTTGATAACATATCATCAGATGCTCTTTCAATAGTACCACATTAACTTTCCAAGGGAAATACCTGGGGTTTTAGCTGCTGTTAAAGCTGCACTACTGTAAATCATGCTGCTCTGTCCTGTCTCTTGAGCTGCTCCCATCACCATGCTTTCTATGTACTCTGCTAAATATTTTCCAGAGGAATTAACTAATTTCTCTCCTCCAGTAGCATGCTGAGAGAAAACACACAAGCTGTTGAAACAAAGGTAGGAACATATATCAGCTCAATCAGTAATTTAGGTGGTGGAAAATTGTTTCTAGTCATTCCAGAAAATTTGACCTTACCCCACAGCTATTTTGTCCTATGGTAGGACAAACCATCATTCACAATCAGACAATTTAGA